CCCTGACCGCAAATTACTAGATGCATTATAAGATTCTGTGCAAAATCTTAATTATCAGGTGACACTACCCAGCTTTATCGTTTTTACGCGGCTGAAACCGGTTTGCACTTGTTTATGTTCGTTTATCAGTTGGTTAAGATCGTAATGAGATACTTTAAAAATAAAATTTCCCGAATAAAAACCCATTACATGTATGTTTAAACATAAAAGTATTGCAAACAAACTGGTGCAAAACATGCTCTGTATTTGCGCTTTTATTTTCATATTTTGTTGTTATTAATTTTAATAAATTTGCTCGATAAATACGAACACAGCTGGCCAAATTACACAGTGGTGCACATGGAATATGTCGGACCACAAAGTCCTCCATGTTCCCATAACATATTAAACCTCTGGGGGTACTGAACTGGAGATTGATGCTTCAGATCAAAATTACGATCTGTGAATGAAGGAATGTATCCGCCCTGTAACCGGGTGTGAAATATGGGTGTAGCAGAAGTCGAATTCTTGACCATAGATGGCGCCACTTACAAAGGCGCCCTTTTCCTTAATGTTCTATAACAACAACAACAACTTAAGAAACATATTGCTAGGCCCACTTGATGGTAATTAGAGCAAGATACATTAATTCCGATTTTATCGTTAATCTAAGTCTACAGCACTTTGCACCCTAAATCCTCGAGAAAATGCAAAACTAAAATGAAAAGACACAAAATTAAAGGAAAAGGTTGATGAAATGTAAATTTTAAATATTACGTTTTCCCATTAAGTTTGAAAGGGGAAAATATTTTTATTTTTGTCAGACTTAAATGGGCAACTTATTTTTGGAGTTTCAACAGTGATACAAAAGTGCCCCGTTCTGAATTTTAGATCATATCAAAATTGTAAAAAAATATTCTGATTTTTGATAAACGTAGTTTTTAAACATTTTATTTATTCCATTTTATCTGATTTTCATTCTCCTATTAATTACTCAATAGTGGTACAATAATTGCTCAATATAGTCTATATGGCTATTATAATTTTGTGCTGTACTTTCACTAGTAAATAAATTAAAATTATCCTTAATTATTCATAAATTATCTTTCATTATTATCGGAATTAAATATTATCGTCATAAATTATTATCGTTTGTCTTTAATTATTCATAAATTAAAAATAAACTAGAAAATTTTCGAATCTTAATCTTTTTTTCTTTTCGTTTATTTAAAAGAAGTAAAAAAGTCTGCTTTTTCTTAAAAAAAAAAAAAAAAAAGGCTATTTTTGTTTTTGTAAAATTAAGGCTTTATCTTTTTTCTTTTTTATTCTTTCGCACTTGGAGAATCCCATAACATTCATACATTCCAAAATTAATATTCAGAAGAATATTAATTTTTGCAATTACGTATGCGAGAAAAAAAAATATTAATTGGAAATATTTCTTTTTTTTTGTCGAAANTTTTTTATTCTTTCGCACTTGGAGCATCCCATAATATTCATACATTCCAAAATAAAATTAATATTCAGAAGAATATTAATTTTTGCAATTACGTATGCGAGAAAAAAAATATTAATTGGAAATATTTCCTTTTTTTTGTCGAAAAGTATTAAAGTGCATATAAATGAATTTCTACAAAAAGTAGATACTATTTAGTTATTCCAGCATTTTTGACGGAGTAACAAATTAACGTCTTAGAAGAAAAAAATTAAACAAGTTCTTTTATCTGCCCACGTCTTCCTGTGGCCTTGTATTACAGAGAGAGAGAGGTGAGTTTAGAGATTTCCAATGCTCTTTTATCTGCGGTTGCCATTTAAATACTTTGGTTAAACTATGATGCGGAAACTGGTTTCGTCAAAAAAAGTTCAAACGATTATAAGTTGCACGGTTACAAACGCAAACATGCTTGCATTCGTAAATAGATGTTAGTTGTAGGTAAGAGATGCGCTGATTGCCTGAGTCTGCTTTTCAATAATCATTGTTTCGTATGAAATAATAAAATTTTATCGAGTACATAACTTTTATAACTACAGTAACAGTTGGACCAAACTAGATCACGTAGCTGTGAATTTTTCCTGCTAGTAATGTCAATGCTACTGATGAAAATTTTGCAGAAGCTTAATATGAAGAGAAAAAAAATATGCAATTATTTTTTAATTTAAAGTATTTGTGTTATTTTTTTCAATTTGACAACTTAGAGCAGTAGTAGCTCAGGGGATGGAGCGTTCTCCTTCCCACGAGGTGAACCGGGTTCGAAACCCAGAGATAGCTGGTCGATACGAATGCCGCACCCAGCTCGTACCGACTACAGCGCAGCCGTAACGTCCGTCCTCGGTGGTAGGCGGAGTCCCATGCCTTCAGGCTAACTGTGAAAGGTTTTGCTCTCCATGTAACGCAAATGCGGGTTAGTTCATCAAAAAGTCCTCCAAGAAAGCTAATGATTCCTTTGTCTACAAGATTTTCAATGATAACAAACGAAATAACTTAAGAGCATGAAAGAAATAACTGCTGCCAACAAAATTGAAAATATGTAAAGAATTTGCTGCTGTCGAGCACCAGACGAAAAAATGAACATTGAGCGTTTGAACATTTTCATTGCATACGTTGCTGGACAAGTGATGTTTTGTACCCATCAAATTCGAAAAATTAGTTTCGTTGGAACCGAAATTATTTACTAAATTTTAAAAGGAGTTGCCAGAAATTGCTACAAACAAATGTTTTGTTTTTGTATCGCACTACACGCTACACTACTTCTTTTAAGAAGTAGCGCACTACGCTACAAAATACGAAAGAAAGTAGCGACTGCAGTAGTTTCGTCATTTGTAGCGAGTTACTTCTGACCACTGGCCTGACGTGAAATATCCTCAATGGTATACCGATCATGGGTTAGTCTCCTTGCCGTCAGGCTAACCATGGGAGGTTCTCGTGATCTTCCTCTCCATGTAACGCAAATGCGGGTTAGTTCCGTCAAAAAGACCTTCCCGAAAGCAAATTCCTCTTAATACTTGATCCAGGAGTTCTCTTGTCTTCTGGATTGGGTTCAAAATGACAAGGCTACGTAGTTGAACATTGGTAGTTGTAAACTTAAACTTGGATCGGCTGTCCAACAATGGTTACAAAATAAAAGACCTTGCTTGTACGAAATCGTTCGAATTTCAAATTTAAGAAAAATTATATGTTTAAAATTTGATTTCCCCCAGAACTGTCCGGTCGGTTTTGTTCAAAATTACTAAATTTAAAATTACTTTCTTTAAAATTATGTAAAAATCTGTATACCTTTAGAATTTAAATTTTTCGGTTGTTTTTAAATAAAGTTATAAACATAATAAATAAGGAATAAAAATAATTTTTTGTATAGATTTAATAATCTTTGTATTAAAAAAAAATTTGTGAGTACAAAAAATTTCCGATTCGCTTAAAAGAGAGACATTGCAATAAAGGTATTATTAAGGGATTTATATTAAAGTGTCCAAAATTTTGAACGTTCTCATATCTTAATTGTTGGGATTTCAAAATAAAAGATATGTTTGTCCAGGTCTAATATCATAGCATAAAAACATCACCAGCACTGATTAATTAGCACATTCACCGTAAGACTCTAGAGCCATTGTTCTAGTGAATGAAAATACAATAACAAGAATAAAAATTATTCAAGTTGTTAACTTTTATTTTATGGTCCGTACATGCCCTAATGTTTGCGAAAAATCTGAATACTATTTATTTAGTGTTATGGTTATTCAGTAGTTTTTGAAGCTAGAAACTACTACTTTCTTTACCAGCATAAATCCTAATTTTGATCCTTAGCAAGTCACAGACGGCTAATGTAGCATGCCAAACAATTAATACTATTAACAGGATTTCCTGTAAATTCTATGATATGAAATATGTAGATCAATATTGTAATAAGTTACGCCTAAGAATTAATATTATCATTCTCAATGGCTCGACAGCCCAGTGTGCGCCATGGTCTTCTCAAGAAATTTTTTTCAGGCCAACCTTTTTCTGCTAGAGTTTTTAGTTTTTAAGACCAAAAGGTCCTTTTTCTAGGTCATCTATCCATCTCAAATTCGGCCTGCATTTTTTTCATGTGCCAATTGGTCTGGCATTAAAAACTCACTTTGTGGTACAGTCTTTATCCATTCTGATCATGTGGCGGTCCCATTTTATCCTTTGTCTTTTAATGAAGTAAACAATGTCAGTGATAAAGCTCTAAATTTGTCTAAGCCATTCACCATTTTTTTGAATTCCTCCAAAAAATATTTCTCAAAACCTTTCTGTCTCGCAGTGGACTAATCGTAAAGATACGGTTCCCAGCAGATCACTGAAGTCAAGCATCACTGGCTGCTGTCAGTGTGCTGGTGGGTGGACCACTTTGATCAGCCTGAGATGGGACCGAAAGTGGGCTGTATTGGTCCTCGTTTAACTGTTCTACCGTAAAGTGCTCGACTTCGCGTGCAGGCCGTCGGGTTACCAAAGTGGGAGTGCAATCTCCTCTGCCGAGGATCAAAATTGTGATGGCTTGTCTTTAGATCAACATCAGGGATGCTTCCCAAACCATAGCCCATTGATCAGCTCTAATGCGAGGTAAATATATTACAACAACAAAAAGAAGACCGTTCTCTAAAAGATACCCAACGTAACCTCATCCGTACGACACAAGGTCCAGGTTTCGCAAGCATCTATTAAAATTGGTCTCAAAAGAAATTTAAACAGTAAAACTTTTGTTTTTCTATGAATTGCATTTAAGAATTAATATATCCAGATCTATTATCGAATTCTCACATTTAAAAACGTGTGACCTTCATTACGCTACTATTTAAAATTTAAATATATTTCGAAGACATGCTTGATAATGAAAATCACTTATCCTTCTTCTTGTTTGCGGTATTATAACTCCGACCGCAGAAACGACTCCCCCTTTGACGGCATTGTAATGGCCCCCTGATAATGATGATGCCATATTTGTTCATGCTTTTCCATTTTCATTTTTTTTTCTTATTTTGTGGATATTATTCTCTTGTAGGTGTTTCGATACTGGTTGAATTATTTCCTATTTTCTGTTATTGATGCTGGTTGAATTATTCCTGCCTTCGTGTTTTTAATCAGATTTATGACAGGTAATTTTTTCAAATATTTTTCAGTTATAACATTAGCAGCTAGGCACTGTTGTGGCTTGGAATTGTATAAGTAAATTGTAATTCAAATTGTCAACATTCACCGTTGGAAGTCAGCAACCACCAATTCAGGTCATTCACAGTAACACATATATATTTTTACAAGAATAATTCATAAAGCCTATTTATTAAACGAAAGATAAAGAACAAAAAATATGATCAATGCATTATTATACCCTTCATAAAAACAACAATTTTTGCTCCATGTAACAATTCTACAAAAATATCTCCTTTGATTAAAAATTAATTTTGCATTTTTCGTATGATGATTAATACATTGTATGTCTTCATGCGATAAAATACAGTCCGTAGAACGCTAAGGGATGCTGAATTTCGAACATATCTTGGGGAAGATTACTCAGCAAGCAATGCTCTCCAAAGTTCCGGGACGCATGTAGGAGATGTTTGATGGGCTGCAACTCGCCCATCAAGCATGTCCCATTCCTGCAAGTCTGGTAAGAACACTGGAGCGAGAACCGCAAACAATCTTTTACGATGTTTGCTAGGTGAGGATGGGCGTTGTCATCCATAAACACAAATTTTGCACCCATGGCACCCCTAATCAAATGTACACGTTGTTTCAGATTGATATCCGTATAAATTTGGGCAATCATGATTTCGATTTGAACAAGATCTGTTCTGATGCCCAGTATAATTCCACCCCAACGAACAATCTTGCGCGGTCTCGTTCAACGATGGTAACTGGTTCTTGGCTCTCGCCATGTGAATGTCTGATTACCAGGTAAACCTGGGCTCGTCAGAAAGCATCACACAATGTGACGATGCATGTTCTCTACTCCAGAATAATAGCTGGCAACAGTGAGTTGCAATGACCAGAACACATCTGGCATGCCTGCGAGCAAATAGATCAATATTACTCAAACATCTATACTCTGTTTGCCTTGAAACCATGGCTGCAGATTGCTGACGAAACAGGTTGGATGCTGTGCTTCGTATGCTTCCTTTGGAAATCTTCATTCGTCAACCAGTCTTCATTCGTTGCAACTCAAGGGGAGACATGTATTGTAACGTCTATTGACAGTTCCGTTACCTTGGAATAGTTGCCGAAGTCTGGAGATGACACTTTGGACAATTCTAAGCTCGCTGGATAATTCTTTTCGCATTCCCTGCAGCCGATAATTTTACCGCGTAAAAACATACCCATGCAGTTATGGCACTGGCAGTACGCCAAATTTTATTTCCTTGCCACCATTCTTTATATGCCGCTCTCTTATACTATCGTCTTTGTGGCACACTATCGGCGCCATGTGGTAACTTCCTGTAACTTGAGTATTATTCTGAGTATTTATGTCATCATTCTACGGGTGAATTTTTTACTTAGAGTCCAATTTCCTCGTGATTCTGAATTATTTGTAAGTGTATATTAATCAAATTTGAACATGATAGCAATATCATCCTATAAATATCAATTTTGCAATTACAGACCCTGGCCAAATTAGACGATATATTATACAATTATAGAATGTTTATTACATCAGGTATTATATTAGAATATTACAATTATTAGACCTCACTGTAGTGTTTTAATGCCATGTTTTGCTCGAGTTTATATTCAATACTTTTATATGTAATGTACGGGTTTTTATTCAGGAGATTATATATATTCTTCCTATGTGTATTTATTTTTAACATATTCCATTACAATGTTAGCCAACTGATACACGAACATAAATAAGTATAAACCGGTTTTAACCACGTAGAAACAATCATGCTGTAGAGTATCATCTGATAATTAAGATTTTGCATCGAATCTTGCAGTGCGCCAGGGACTGTATATCCTGCATGATTTCTAAAATTCGAAATACTCGCTGATGCTTCAATTAAATGCACAGGCAGATTACATTAAATGGGTTTTTCCATTTTATGACCCTTTCATTTTATTTTCAAAATAACTTTCACTTTTTTTTTTCCTTTCGAAAGAAGAAATTTGTCTTCGTGATCCCCAAATAGATTAAGTCAGTAAGAGATCATTCAATTACCCAACCATGCTGGGCCATCTTGGATTTCATTTTGTCTGTCAGTCTTGAAAGACAGTTAAGTTTCCCTTTTTTTTTTTATTATCATCATTATTAAGAAAAAGCAGACGATAAGAGAATGTGGAAAACTATAGCTCAATCAAAATTGCTTTTTAGTGAGCCATTAGCTCGCCAAAAGCATTTGACCTTTCGAACTTATTAGATCAGGATTCTATTTTCGTTGGGGAAAAAAACTAAGGATCGAAATAATAATAATATAAATGAAGATTAGAAAATGGATAAATGGCACTTAGCGGGAGGTTGAAGATTTAGGTGCGGTTGATGAATTTTACCTTTTTAGTAGGCGCTTAAAGAAAAAGTGCATTTATTATTTTTTAATCTGAATCTTGACTTCTACACAAAACATTTCCAATATTATATCTATCATAGCTGTTTTAACATTCACACTACCGTAATGGACATTACAGGCCCTGGATTTATTATTAGAAGCTCTATAAGATTCTACGTAAAATTACAATTATCAGGCTGTATTGTTTTTAGGTGACTGAAACCGGTTTTTGCACTTCTTTACTCTCCTATACAAATGGGTTAACATTGTACTGCAATGCGTTAAAAATAAATACAAATAGGAAGTATATATAAAATCTCCTGAATAAAAACCCATTCCATGTATGTTTAAATATAAAAGTATTGTCTATAAAATCGTGCAAAACATGTCATTATTAAAACACTACAGTGCGTCTAATATATTTGATCTAATTATTATAATATACTAATACAATACCTGATATAATAAATATTATATATTTATATAATATATCGTATAATTTATCCCATCATCGAATTTATATTTTCCATCGTACCAATTGATACACGAACGTAAACAAGTACAAACCGGTTTCAGTCACATAAAAACACTAAAGCTGTATAGTATTACCTGATAACTAAGATTTTACATTGAATCCTACAGTGCGTTTAATAATTTGACCAGGATCTGTACATATGAAAAGGTTTCATTATGTTAACGAGCCTGGTCGGTAGGGAGCTGGGCCCATATCCAAGAGGTCGTGGGTTCGATCCTCGCCGGCCGAAGACTCCCCGTGTAGTAAATGGTGGCTGATGCGCGTTAAATCTGTCGAGTCTCAAAGTGCTCCATGTTCCCACAACAAATCAATACCTCTGGGGGTACTGATCCAGGAGTTTCCTTGTCTTCTGGATTGGTTCAAAATTACAAGGCTACGGAGTTGAACGTTAGTAGTCGTAAACCCATGAAATTGGGTCGGCTGTTCAACGACGGTGATAAAATAAAATAAAATAAAATAGAAGAGATCATTAGTTTTAAATTTCATGAAATTGAGTTAGAAAAATGTCTTAAAGTAATCAAGTTCTCGAAATAAAATTAAAGATTTTATTAGCTGTGACCGTTTTAATAAATTTGAAAAATTATAATATTTTTGAAAACAAACACAGCCATTAGTATTTCAAATCCTATTTCGTAACTATTTTCATTTATGGATTTATTTTTGAAAACAAACACAGCCATTAGTATTTCAAATCCTATTTCTTAACTATTTTCATTTATGGATTAAAAGAAAAATAATTATAAAATTAATTTGTTTATTCTTATATATTGCATTTAACCAACAATTATAGCACATTGATATATAAAATAATTGCCTTTTTAATAAATTTGAAAAAAAAAAGTATCTGTATATTTTTGAAAACAAATGCAGCCATCAGTAGTTTAAATCTTACTTCGTAACTATTTTCATCAACAGATTTAAAAAAAAACAAATGTAAAAACAATTTGTTTATTCTTAACTATTGCATTTGAACAATAATTATAGAACATTGATATATAAAATAATTGCCTTTTTAATAAATTAAAAAAATAATATTTTTGAAAACAAATACAGCCATTAGTATTTTAAATCCTACTTCGTAACTAGTATTTTCATTTACAGATTTAAAAAAAAAAGAAAATATAAAATCAACTGGTTTATTCTTATCTGTTGTATTCAACCAATAATGATAGCACATTGATATATAAAATAATTACCTTTTTAATAAATTTTAAAAAAATAATAATATTTTTGAAAACAAATACAGCCATCCGTGCTTTAAATGTTACTTCGTAANTTGAACGTAAGTAGTCGTAAACCCATGAAATTGGGTCGGCTGTTCAACGACGGTTGTAAAATAAAATAAAATAAAATAGAAGAGATCATTAGTTTTAAATTTCATGAATTTGAGTTAGAAAAATGTCTTAAAGTTCCCGAAATAAAATTAAAGATTTTATAAGCTGTGACCGTTTTAATAAATTCGAAAAATTATATTATTTTTGAAAACAAACACAGCCATTAGTATTTCAAATCCTATTTCGTAACTATTTTCATTTATGGATTAAAAGAAAAAAAATTATAAAATAAATTTGTTTATTCTTATATATTGCATTTAACCAACAATTATAGCACATTGATGTATAAAATAATTGCCTTTTTAATAAATTTGAAAAAAAAGTATCTGTATATTTTTGAAAACAAATGCAGCCATCAGTAGTTTAAATCTTACTTCGTAACTATTTTCATCAACAGATTTAAAAAAAAACAAATGTAAAAACAATTTGTTTATTCTTAACTATTGCATTTGAACAATAATTATAGAACATTGATATATAAAATAATTGCCTTTTTAATAAATTAAAAAAATAATATTTTTGAAAACAAATACAGCCATTAGTATTTTAAATCCTACTTCGTAACTAGTATTTTCATTTACAGATTTAAAAAAAAAAGAAAATATAAAATCAACTGGTTTATTCTTATCTGTTGTATTCAACCAATAATGATAGCACATTGATATATAAAATAATTACCTTTTTAATAAATTTTAAAAAAATAATAATATTTTTGAAAACAAATACAGCCATCCTTGCTTTAAATGTTA